CACACACCCCCACACCCCCACACCCCCACACACACACCCACACACCCACACACACACACACACAGACAGACAGACAGGCACACACACACACACGCACACATGCAGGTAGGAGTACTCACTTCCATAGTCTACCACGGCGAACCTCAGAAGCTCTTTACAACAACAGACCTGCAACGTCACAAGACTTGAAAGCACCGACCTCGGCGGCTGCCAATGAGGCAGCGCATTCAGGACAGACGTCAACTTCCTCGAAACTTTGCACAAAAAGGAAGCTTTGAAAGGAAGGTTAGACCTGACATGGCTCAGAGCCACTGAGACATTGTGAGAGTCTCCGATAAACGAACACAATGCCAGGATCCATTCCGAAGCCTCTTGACATCTCTTGACCAGATTTCCAATTTGTATGCAGCAGGTCTAGAGACTAGTACCAGCTTCTTGCACTGCGGAGCCAATTTCCTTGCATTGCCCTCCGAAGCCTTTGTAATAGCCCCATAAGCACACATGACATTATCCAGGTCGGGATTGACAAGTCTTCAGAAACAAGCCACTTGAGCTCTTTGCAGCACCGGAACATTACCTGTAGGCTCATACCCTACCCCTTCTGGGGGGGTACGTACTTTATATATAACAGATCCCAACCATAAAACTAGGTACCTTAAAAAAGGGGTTTGGCATGGCCCTCCAGGTAACTCAATGAAACGCTGGGCGTCTTCACTTGCCACGTGGGCCCTAAGGCACCGATCCGCCAGAAGTTCCGGCTTGCCACGCCCAAGGCGAGCTCATACTGCTGGTGGATGGCCTCGGACGACGCACTGTCGCTCGTCTCGTCGGCTTGGGGCTTAGGATTCACAAGGCAACCTCATCTTCACTTGAAGGCCGAAAAAAGAAAGCTGTTATATAAGGCGGAGGCCCTCGAGCTCTTCAAAACTCAGGCTCCGACTCATGAGTCAGAAAAGCTCAAGGCTTCAGGGCGAATCTTACTCCAATAGGTGTCTATGATATGATCGAAACGTCCGAATATGTACCAAGACCGACAGAATGTGAAACAGTGCCTCCAGAAACCGACACCCAAGACAACAACAAGCAGACTGCAGATATCGACCCCACTCTCACGGATCCCTTGCACTATCCCCGCCTCAAGCCTCTGGGAGCCCGGGACCTGTAGTTCGAAAAGACTTCTGCCATGAGTTTCAGCTTCGAAAACTGAACCCCCTGAGAACAAGATCATCGCAGACTCATGGAGGTGACTCGGACCTGTAGCTTCACCTATCCGCAAACTGGTGCATTCAGAAATTGCTGGTGCATATCTCGAGACAGACACTTACGGATTACTGGGATAACATGCGTAAGACCTTTTTTTTTGCATATCTGCCCAAATGGCAAGGCCCCGTACGTCCATGTTTGACGCCCGTGATCATGTCTCGAAGCGACGGTGCCCGAGACAACTCCGCAAACTGAAGCCCTAAGGCTAGAGATCCAAAAAGAGTACACGTCGCATCCAACATCTGACATGCTCAATTGCAAAATCTTCGATCTTGAAAAACATTATCTGATGCGCTATGCACGTACATATTTCTCATTTCTAGGAACACGCATACGATCAGTAGATCAGTAGATTCTTAACGTTGCATAAGTAGGGCTTGAGCACCACTTACATGCTGGCTCGTCGTAAACGATCGATGCCCGCTCATTCAGAAAGCTACACCTTACTATCTCCGAGACCAACTCCTTAAAGGCGATATAAGGCCCTGGCTTCGAACATCATATCGTCCTCAGAGGGGTTTGGGGCCCTTTTCGGTTTCGGGTTTAGGGTTTGGTGGGGTTGACGGGCTTTGGGATCTGGGGATCGAGGAAGTTGCAGCAACAGTGCTGAGGAAGGGAAGTGTTCGGCTGGGAGTCCACAATCATTCCTTGACCACGGGGTCCAAGGGAGTCTGCGTCATGAATGGTACGACTGTCAAAGTAGGCGCGGCTTCATGCTGAAATGGGGACAAGCCCATACGGCTATAATAGAAAACGGTTGCCAGGGAGCCAGCAGTTAGGTAGTCAGGTGTCAGCCGTGAGTTGGTTGACAATATCTCGGAGCTACCAGCTGGTAGGGCTACCGATTCCTATAGAAAGCGGTCCTATTACATGGCACGTTATAGACAGTTTGGTCGTAGTGGTAGTTTTCGTAGAGGTCTCCGCGTGAAGTAATGTTATAGAAGCAGCAGCATCAGCAGGAGTGGCAGTAATCGTGGTGGTGGTGGTGGTGGGAGGAGGCGGAGTTAAGGGCAGCATCAGCGGCGGCGGCAGAAGCAGAAGAAGCGACAACAGCAGCAGGAGCAGGAGTAGCAAGAGCAGGAGGAGCAGGAGCAGGAGCAGGAGCAGGAGCAGGAGCAGGAGCAGGAGCAGTAGCAGTAGTAGTCGTGGTGGTGGTGGTGGTACTAGTAATAGCACGTAGTACCTTTAGCCAAGAAGCAGCACTGTCCACAGACTCATCCTCCTCTTTCGGAGCCGCAAAATAGGCTTTTGCCAGAGACGGTGCAATCGAGAACTCGCAGAGCCTGGCTGGCATTTAGGGTTTAGGCCTTCGACCACATTCTCATGGAGCAAGCAGGAGGCTGATGTAACCCTTCCGAAACTAGACTGTCGGTGGAATCGTTCAGGGCAGGTTTATCAGCATGTTTACGCAAAGCGTGCTTCGCTTCAACATTCTGCCTTCGGACCTCCCGCATTGCTAGATCCTTTAGGACCGACATGTATTCAGGGGGTTTGCACACTAAGTTCGCATTCAACTGATCCGTTCTTTCAGCCATGGTGCAAGCGGCTCATGGTGCAGGCATCTTTCTGCCTGCTCAGAGTTTTGGATACAGCAAGTCGAAATTAGCCTGAATTTGTAAGGTGTGCCTGGAGTGTCAGATTTGGCTTCACTCGAGTTCGGCGCGTCAGAACCACAGCACACCGCGCACTGAACCGAAACCCTAAAGTCAATCATCGAACGCTACCCTAAAAACTACTCTGATACTATTAAAAAAATCCGTTCAGAAGCCTCGCCAGCTCTGACAGCTGCTTCGCTCGTTTCACAAGGTGTGCATCGGGAACGGAGGCAGAGCCTGCTCGAGACCGGTCATTAAGGGCTACGCTACGCCACCAGTTCTGAAAACTCCTTGCCGATTTGCCGAAAGGCTTCGGGGCACCTAATGGAGACATGCGTGCTTCAAGATTCGACCTTGCCTCGAGTTGTGTTACAGATGCTGACACAGCTTTCTCTTCAGTTTGGGTTTGGCTCTAGGCAGACCGAGTCATTGAATGGTTTCGGGAGATTCTACGTCTGCCCAAGCCCGTATGTGCCAGGGTTCAGTTCATTCCTCTTCACTCGTGTTGATATGGCGTCTACCTGCTTTGCCCTAACAGGCATACACGCTGAAAACACCTGTGCACTCACCCAGACAGAGCGACTGGACGAGAGACACAATGGCCGCAACATTTAATCGCATCTGACTGTATTCACACGCCGCAATTTCAGTCCATGTTGCGTGGGGGTGCCTGCCCAGGTGTGCACGCATGCATCTGCTGACGTGCATGTTGCTCTAGACACTTCTCCCATACCTGCTCAAACCATTAATATGCTTTACCAACCCCGAAATGCCTATTCACAGAGATTTGCGACTGCTAGTCGACATAAACAGATCCACGCAAGCAAGCAAGGAACCCAGGCGATGGCAAACGCAACAAGGCAGAAAGAGCAAGCATGGACAGGTGTTCGGGACTGAGAAATGCTTACACCTCTCTACGTTCAACTTGCAAAACCTGAGCTCTGAGGATACAACTCCGCTCAAGACAGACACAGCACAGTATCTTCGGCGCGGGTGGGCTATATTGTATTCATGTTAGTCTTTAGCTTGAGGGGTGAGGGGCTGATGCAAGATGCTTGCATGCGGGGCTGCAGGACGTTTCAGTGCAGCCAGGCGGCCCCAGATCCAGCTTGGGTTAATCACAAGAACCTGCAGCAGCTCTGCGCATTTGTACGTCATTGTACGTTGCTCTTAGGTTCGCTCCTTGGGCAAACATGTGAGAACCTTGTCCCTCTCGCATGGCGAGGCTCACTGCCCACAGGCGAGTTACATAGGACAGCAAACGAAGAAACTGCGATTCGTTGCTGTGGGAATTCGGCTTGGGGTTCACAGCGTAATACGGTTTCGGTGTTTACAGCGCAACACGGTTTCGGTGCGTACTCTTCGACTGTCCATGCGAGGCATGTGTCCCTGTGTCCGTGGAGTGAAAACATGCAGCTAGCCGTGTCACCATCTAAAGCCCAACTAGTCTCACAAATGAAAAGTTGACGGTGTACAGAGCTGCCGGAATACCACATCACTGAAGCGACAGAGGCAAAACACAAGCACGAGTTACTTTCTCACATAACTATAAGCAGCGGAAAACAACAGTTAATTACCTCGAAGTCTTACAGACTGCAACAACATATGAGAGAAATGCCTTGATCGCCAAGAATCCCGGCACGCTTAACATCACCGCAACCCTTCTGACACCCGCGTGAGTGCGAATGCGAGAGACTGCCAGTGGGATCTACAGCTTGCCCAACAACTCATCCCAAAGCAGTATGGTGGCAGCTTCGGTCAGCTCACTTGACAGCTGGACCGTGACGATGGTGGTAGTTGAGAGCTTGATGATGCTGGTGAGGCTGATACTAACGATGTGGATGATGATAGTCAAGTTTGTGGTTGACGAACATTAGTACGCGTAAGGCCCAAAAAGGTAGCGGGGGGGGGGGGTAAGTCAAACATGATTCAGTGATATTTGTGGGCCGACTCGTGCGTTGTGGGATTTCAGCTTTTGCCTACCTGACAGGTGCAAGCACACTTTTCAAAACACCATGCTCTATGAAGTCTATGTCACAGGGTTGGTACTTGTACCCGTAATACTACTACTCCCGAGCCAAGAAGCCCCTTTCAAGCGATCCTGCAGCTTCCACAGGATCGGAAGGCCAAGTCCAAAGGTGCTGTCCTGAGAACTTAGGGATGCGGGGTTTCGGGTTTTTCAAAATATCGGAGCTTGTGACGAATTACCCAGAGTGCGGAGTTGTTTTTTTGCTTCGTCGGGGGAGGAAGCTAGAAAGCGTGGAATTGGTTTCAATCTTTGCTTTGGCTGGAGACATGGGCCAACTGCAGGCAAGCGTCCAGCAGATGGAACATGTCATGGAGTGGCAGGGCATCGATCCTTAATGCACATCAACATAGGGCAGGGGTTGAAACCTGGAGTGCCACTACTGCCTGCACTCAGTTCAAATGCCCGCCCACGCAGGCTTTTGTTTCCTGGACATCTCTTGATAATTCAGACAGAACGTGGAATACAAGCCTCGGCCGGCTGCAGTCAAACACCACAGCATCATCTGCTGTCCCTCCGAAAGACTCCACAGAAGCACAAGGTGACCCATGCTCTCGTAAGCTCTCGCCCAGGAGCACATGAAAAAGATCGTGGTAGAAAGCCTCCCCTTCGTGGCCTTCGCCTTCAAACTCGTCCTCGCAGGAGCCACGGCTTGGACTCTGGCGACTCGGCAACGCAGGCGAGGCTGGTTCGGGTCAGAAGCCACGGTGTAGGGTTTATAGGGCTCAAGGTTTTGGTTGAGGAAGTATGCACGTGATGTAGCATTGAAAGATGTGCTTGTACTCAGCATAGATACATACATCATGGGGTTTGTATGGCACCATGGACCCTCGGTCTTGATGTCACAGAGTTTGTAAAAAAATATGTTGAATATTGAAGGCAAAACGTCCTTTACTGTCTCGCTTACCCGTCTCGCAAGGAAGTGGTATGCCTGTGTCGAAGCTATAGGCGTTGCACGAAGTGTTTTATGGTCCACGCTCGTTATTGGAGCATGCTCCGCGCCTGGTATTCGGTGAGCAGATCTGGATTCACCTTGGATCTGGGGTCTGAGGACGTCTCAAGGCTCGACTGCACCCACAGCTGCACCCAAAGCACACAAGATTCACGAATGCCCATTGGGAGACTTTGTGGCCGCTGCCATGTCGCTGCAGCTCAAGGTCACAAGGCACCAAATCCCTCAGGCTGAACACAACGACTTGGAATCAGGATCCGTGGACATATCCCTGTCCAGGAGTAATGCAGCTTCTGCCATCTCCCAAATGGAGACAGGAACCCAAACAAAGAACACCCAACTCTAGTTCCCCTGACGACTGGAATACGACCACACTTCCCGCATGAGATTTAACGCCAGGACCCAAGAAGGATGTATCACGTGCAAAACATCGAGTTTGGCGTTCAGGGATTCAGGACTGATCCGGACTCGACATAAGCAGATGTATGCGGATCATCAAAACATCTAGCAGGAAAATGCAAGAGATGTAAACACTTCCGCAAATCGGACCTTTAAAATGCCACCCACCGCCACCCTGCAAACTGCACATCGCCGCATGGCCATAACTAAGAAGAGATCGCGCAAACGAACACCAAAACCACTATGCAAGGCGAGATACCAAGAGCCAAACACCTGTATTATTCCGTTCGTCGACCCGCCCTGCACAGGTGTATGAGCATGTCCATGAGCTGCTTGAGACGTTGCGAATCACATGCGGTTCTCTCCTGCAGTCCGACAAAAAGCTTTGTCATTCGGGTTCCCAAACCCGAAAGCAGGCACGAAGTATAGACAAGCCGCAGCATCGCAGCACACACAGAATATTTCGCACTCCTGCCAGCATGGGCTTTCGTCAACTTGCTTCATTCTTGAAGACGAAGCTTACATGAACCAGGACCTGCAGGATCTGAATTAACGAGTTGACGCGATGGATACAAATTCAAAGTTTTTTCCAATCATTCAGCCGCGAGTTCGCTGGCTTTGTTGACTCGGCAATGTTTCTGGTAAACTATGAATAAGATCTTTGGATCTAGAGCTGGGATCAGGACCTATGTTACTATCATCCGTCCCCCTCTGTCCACTCGACTGCGGTTCAAGATCGTCTCTGATGCTTTACTTCAGAACCTGTCAGACAGCCGACGGCCTTCTGAAACACGAGCACTCTGCCTTTTCGATTGGTTTGAAGCGGAAGCGACAACTCCAACTCCGAAGGTCCGAAGTCCCCCACGCTTCACGCCTGGGCGGCTGCTATGGCTTTGACTGCCTGCTCCTCACAGCGGATGCAAGCAGCACTCCGAACACAAGAGCACGGCAGTGCTGGGCACAGGTTGAAGTTGAATGGCACTAACCCTAAGCCCAAAAACCTAAACCGTGGGCTTTACTTCCGGGCTTCGAGCTGTGAACAGGATGATACCCGACTTCGATGCCAGCTGGGCATCTGGTGCTTCGAAGTGCCCTGGTCGTGTCGGTTGGAGTTGTCTGAAACATGTCAAGTAAATAGATGAACACCAAACAACCAGATATCCACACGTATATAAAAAAATACATAGATAGACATATGCACATGTGTATATATATATATATGTATGTATATATATATGTATATATATATACACATATTCGTGCTTTTAATGATGCCCATGAGTTACTCGTACGTTCATGTATTTCCGTATGTGTTCGTACCTCGAGATTCTGATTGCGTGATGTGGCTGCATTTGCCAGGAGCCGCTGTGCATCATCCTTGGGCCTGAGGATTCCATCCTTCGGCTAGCAGCTGATAAATTGTCATGCCAGTGTCATTCTTTATCTAAAATACTGACAGGGCAAATGCTGCAACGGCAGGCCGTAGAGATGTAGGTGATCCCTGCGAAGAAGGCAAACGGTTCTTCTGAAGTAGACAAGCAATGCTTGCTCTGCACCTAGGCTGTACCAGCCTGGAGTGACCACGGCAGAATGCGGCAAAAGCCCAAATAAAGCAGCGGTTCCTCAGAGGCAGAAGCTATGGTGAGCTGCTGCTGTTCTCAAACGTAAAACCATAACAACATACCCTTAATCCAGAGTTGGAGCTTTCGTTCAGTTGAAGCTGTCGGCACAAAGGGACATGAGTAAAAACATCGCAGCATAAGGTTCGATATTGAGAGTCATCGTACCAGCGGATTTTATTTCAAGCTGGTGTAAAAACAATTCCCTCAACTAGAGCCGGATCCCATGAAGCTCCCTCAACCGCTTTTTTGCGAAACGTCTCTATACCAAGGCCGCAAATCCCGTTAAACTGAACCGGAAATCTCCCACCCAACCGATGCCCGGACCAAAAGGCAGCAAAGCTTCTCTGCGCAGGTGAGAGGGAACCAGCCTGCAAGGAAAGCCGCAAAGACTTATCATGATCATGTAGACTTGGCCAAGAGTTGTAGACTTCAGTCATCCAGGGGATTCTGAAGGCTTTGGACTTCAGGGTGTCTGGATGGAATGCATGCAACTGCTTCCCACACCTACACCTGCAATCAGGCACATCAATACTGGGATCGCTGCATCCTTCCTACCCGCAAACTACCCCATGATGCAGCTCGTTCAGGAAAAGACAAAGCAATGTGCAAACAACCACAGATGTTAAGGCCTGAAGAACCAGTGTTCTCGATGAAGCCCTGTAAGAAACACTCCACCACAGGCTGAAGTGCAAATTCCGCACAGAATAATGAAGCAAAGCGACACATAAATGGTGCGCATGAGGCCATTGATGTTGAGACCTCTCGGATTCCGAAGCACACGCATTGGGGGCTGGCTGAGGTCGTCAGGTCCTTTCCGCTTCCCCCTAAACCCCCCGACAAACCAATGGATCCACGGATTCATGGCGTGACTATATACAGGCAGTTCTTGTGAATCGAACCTGCGTCGATGCACATCACTTGCTCGGGGGGCTGCTGCTCAGGCGGACGTCTTCGAAGGACGTCTTCGAAACGGGCGATTCATGTCATGTAATTATAAGGTTACGATTCCAGCCATTCTCGGGGTTGGCATTTGGAGACAGCCAGTCTCATGCCCCACTGTCAAAATTGTACTGAACCACGAAGCACAAGGCTCTGCAATACTGATCCCCAATAGAAGTCATACGATGACTCCTCTGTGGAGCCCGACACCCCTCCTTAAACAGGACAAGTCTTATCCTAAAACAACAGCAGGAGCTGCAGAACCGCGCCACGATGTAGCTCACCCAAGCTTTCTGTTCTGGCCGAGGCTTCATGTCGCTCGCAGACAACATTCGGAGAATTATTGGGGAATCTGTAATCAGACCGTGAAAGTTCATGTGGGGAGTTTCGTGCCATGTAGGAGAAGTCCAATGTGGATTGACAACCAGCTTCTGCTGGGACGGGAAGCAAGAAGCCGTCTCCGACCCCGTTCAAAGACCGAATATCCCTCAACCCTAAACCCCAAAACAATCCAAACGTGCCGGGGCGCGACGTACCTGTGTGGAGACGTTGGTGAGAGACCTGATGGAGGCTGCACTGTCTCGGAAAACTTAAGGGTTTTGGGTTTGGGGTTAAGGGTTCATATGCCCAAGTATAGAGTTACTATCCATCTATCAATCAATATATATATATAACGTTATGGTATGTACTATTTGGGCACATGGACCCCTTTTGGGATTCAAGAAGCGGAACCATGTTGCAGAAACATACTCTGCGGCTCTCTGGTTCTAGGCAAGGGAAGCTCTGCAGGAGGCTATGATTGAGCGTGCCGCTAAATCCTTGCAGCCTGTCACTCCTTTCTTGGCTACAAAACCGGAAACAATTCTGCGCTGCTCAAGGCTTGAGATCCAAAGCCCTGGTGTCTGACCCCTGCATCCAAAAACCCCAAGGCATATTCTCGCAAGGCCAAGTCGTCCCCAGGCATCGAAGCCCGCACCCCGTTGTGAGGCGCTTCTTGGCGGTTCGGTGGAATTGCAATGCCGACACGTTCGGACTCCAGCTCGGACCCCATGAAATGGACATCGGCAAGCCTTACCGTCTAACTTGAACCCTTGCGGCATCTTGCGGCTTTTCGGATCCAAAGCCATATTTTCTGCCGGGCTGCTGTGGGTATGTTGACCCGATGCTTGACATCCCGATGTTCCAGAGGTCGGGGAGGTTCCCAGAGGAGAAATGCTGCCCTCGGCTGTGCTGGACTCATGTTGCAACTCACGCAACGTCGTAGAAGCGCAAACTCTACCTCAACAAAACCCTTCAAGCACGAAGTAAGGCCTGTTCTGCCAGTGTGGGAGGTCTACATAAGCCCATATGGTCTCGATGCCCAAAACTGCTGGGCCCCATGAGGAATTGTATAGAACTCAAGACTTCACTACACCCGGAGCCCTATCAGCCCAACACCGCAGAATGAGCTGTATCCAACCCCATGGACTCCTACAATTCCTGACAACCTCCAAACTCCAAACACCCTATTCTCTAAGCCCCACTCAATCCCAGAAGCCCACATAAGCCCTACTTGTAAGAGCCCCAATCCTATGCCCTAAAATACGCCTGGGCTCAACTCCCGGAAACCAGGAAGCACCCCCTAAACCCTAACCCAAAGATATCTCGAAAATTCCCGAGATACACCCCCAACTCCCCAAAATCAGCAAGCACCCCTAACCCGGCCCAAGATCCGGCGTAGACACGCAGGCGACTGTACAGGGGCTCAAACGGACGGCCGTTGCAAGCGCTGATCGACCAGAGGTAGAAGCGCTCGAAGACCTTCAGAACAGTAAGTTCAGTTTACAGTTCTATAAAGGCTAGGGTTTAGGCTTGAGGGTTTAGGGTTTAGAGTTTAGGGTTGATGGTTACGCTTATAGGCATAGGACCTGTGAATATGTCTGTGTGACTTCGACGCCTCAGCTGCGTTTCATCTGGCCAGTGGCCAGGAGAATGACGAAAGATGCTCCCACAGATGCTTGACGTCTGTGGTCAGGAAAGACGCATCTCGCACTTATTGCGGGTTCATGATTTGTCATGTTTTTGCTCGGCTTGCAACAGGTGCAGAGACCTGTAGCATAGCAACTTTGGAAATGCGCACC